ACATGCTCCAAGTTAGCGAGATGGCCAAGACCGACCTTGCATTTCCAAACTCCCATCGATAGTGGAAATAATCGATTTTTTCATGCTTCTACGGCAGTTTTCATGTAGTTTGCGGCCATTTTCTACTGGCCAGAGTGAGAGCCAATAGCTGGCTGCCACGAATAGGCTGGAAGATTCTATTGGCCAGCGTGAGATCCAACAGCTGACTGACACGAATGTTAACTAGCATGCTAGAATGCAAAAAAAAAATCGATAGCTGCATTCGTCATAAGTGGGAAAAATTTAAATCTGCTTGTCACTTTACTCCAATTGGCTCATTGACTTGGTTAAACTCAACGTTAATTCTGATTCCGCAGAAATGGGTTGGGTGTGAAAAAGTATTTGTTGTTAACATTCTTTTTCATTCGGTTTTTCCAGTTACAGGTCCTTTTTTAAAACTGATCGTTTTGTGTTCATTTTGTTTAGTTCTTTTTTCGTAACAGATTTAATGTTTAGTATAGAGCTTAGAAAAAATTCGCATTGTGAGATAGGCAAAGAAGTAAGGCATGTAGCAACATCAGCACGGCAAAGGGCACTCCTTTAAAGGCAAGGAAGGGCAAAAATATTTTAAGTCAAGTGATAGCGATTGCTGTATGAGTCGTACGATTTTTGAATCAAGCACGGGCAACGCCTGGCCATGCTGCTAGTTTCTTTATAAATTGGTAATAAATATAAATATTGCATTGCATTATTTCTAATCGTATTAGTTTTTAGAATGTTGTAAACATAAAATTATTCTTGTAAATATACCCTAATAAATAATGTTTAAAATGTCTTTTGTCTATTCTTAAGAACAAAGAAACTGTATAAAACAAGAAACATTGCTGAAGAGTAATTAAAATAAAAGATGTGTCATGAGAAAAGTCGTCCTTTTCACACTCCATTATTTTTTGTGGGCACAAACGTCAATGTTTGCCAAAATGAAATATTTAAAATATATTACAAGATAATATCAAAAAAAATTTCTCTCTCCTAACAGCTTTCTAGCGGAAGGGTTACAGACCAGGTTTTGGAGATCAACTTTGTCTGCAGGCCCATTGTTGTTGTTATTATTATTATTATTATTATTTTCTTTGATTTCTGGCGTTTATCCATTTCTTTCCGGGTCCCGCCCAGGGACCTGAGGTTAGAAATATCATCATGACACTTTCCACTGACAAAAAAATTAGATAGATAAAGCCCTTCGTAAAGTGTGGGCTGTACTTGTCAGAACATTTTTTTTGTATCTCCTTGATACATGGACTTCCAGGAATCCCTTCAATTAGTCAACTGCAATTTTTTCCAACCAGTCCTAGGGCTCCAACTACAACAGGGATTGTTGATGTTCCCATATGTCACATTTTCGATTATTATTATCATTATTATTATCATATAATGTGATTAATATTAAGGCAGTTTGGTGGGAGATAATTGTAACTCCAGCACCCTACTCAGTATCCACACAGAACGCTGAACAGCCATTACCTGGAATATCTAATGTTGTTGTTGTTGTTGTTGTTCTTCTTCTTCTTCTTCTTCTTATTATTATTATTATTATTATTATTATTATTATTATTATTTTCTTTGATTTCTGGCGTTTACACATTTCTTGTGAGAACATTTTTTTGTATTTCTTTAAGGCATGGGCTTCCAGGAATCCCTACAATTAGTCTACTGGAATCTTTTCCAACCAATCCGTGGGCTGCAACCACAACAGTGATTGTTAATGTTCCCATGTGCCACATTTATTATTATTATTATTATTAATAATAATAATAATAATAATAATATTTATTATATATATTATTTATTATTATTATTATTACATTGTTTATTGAAATGATTGGCAAAACATCGGCTAATTGCAAATTGATACGAACTTTATAAAATGGTAAATAATAAGGATTTTCTTATTTTAATAATTTAGTAAATAAATTTATGAATAAAAATTGTTTTCCCATTTATTTCTTTATAAATTGTTAAATTATAAATGTTGCATTGCATAGAGAGGAAAAGAGGGGAGAGTGGGGGAAGAGAGGGGAGAGAAGGGAAAGAGAGGGGGAAGAAGAGAGAGAGAAGGGAAAAAAATTTATGAATAAAAATGGTAAATGATAAATATTTCATTGCTTTAGTTTTTAGAAGGTTGTAAGTATAAAATCATTCTTGTAAATAAACAATCTAATAAAGAAATAATGTTTAACGTTTTTGTTGCAAATTCCCAACAACAACAAAAAGCTAATGTATAAATTAACGTTCATCGTATGTTTAGGTTTTATTGCAATTCTAATCATCGCTTTTTAATAATAAAAAATTGCCGAGTACCGTAGGTAGTTAAAAATAATAGCGGTGTCAACGGAAAAAAAAACGTTCTTTTGTCAGTCGTTTTCTTGCGGGGCGGGCGAAAGATCAACGTTTGCCAAAATATCATCTAATGATATATTCTTCATTGTTTATGACTTCTTGCCAACCTCCACTCACAATG